CAAATTCCTTTGATCTGTTCCACATCTGCAGCATCCATCGCTACAGCAGGCACACATCCATCATCTGCTGGAGAGCGTGTGTACATAACCTACCCACAGTGCACAGCAGCAGCAGCACGCAGCACACCACAATGGACACCACGATGGCCAGCTCGCTGCCTCCGAGCTGCACTATGGCGATGGTGTGACGAAAGTTCCCCACTTGCACCTAGAAAGAGAAAAAGGAACAACACATGACAGTGGAGTGAGCTCCTCTTCTGATTATGTTATCGCTTTAATATTACCGTCAGCCAGTGGAACAGGTAAACAAGACTAAGTTGCTTGGCATTGTTCTTGATTCTGGTTTACGGTGGACAAAGCAAATAGACAGTATCGTAACTCAAATGGAAAGGTGACGAGAAAATGTACAAAGTATGTAACACCAACCACTTTGAAACAAGTCTCTGGTTTTGTCACATCTTGAGTACTGTCCGGTCATATGGTCATCAGCAGCAAAAACACATATACAGAAATTACAAATAGCTCAAAACAAAGGCTGCCAGACAGACTAGCTCTCCACTGTTCGAAGGGCACTCATATTGGAGTTATGCATATAAACCTATCATGGCTTCCGGTTGAGAAACGTTTCTAAAAAGTGTCCAATTTAGCAAAAGACCACTGTATTTTTATGATCAAATAGTTTACACAAGAGATGAGCATGACCATAAGACTAGACAAGGTCTTGTTTTCTGTTGTCTTCCTAATATAACCTGAGGTTGGTTCAATAGGTCCCCGCCTCCTAAATTTGTTCAACGTCTTAAAAAATTTCTACTTTACGAAACAAAGCGGAGCAAGGAATAAAGGAAGTGGTTGCGTTGAACACGGCGTTCGACTTTGTACAACATCAGATAACCAATTGCTGGACCTTAGTTACCAGGAGGGCTATTTACTTATTGGTTTTTTAGTTTATATAAAGATTTTTTTCTTTTTGATATTGTCAACTTCTTTTGTATCTGTTGGTTTATAGTAATATTATGTTAGTGTTTATATGTATGTATTATTCAAGTATATTCTATCATCACACAGTATGTATTTTCGTAAATTTCGCCATGCTGATGTGTTCATCGACAATAATGTAATCCAAATTACAAGGAAGAGTCTTCTATAACGGATGTAAACAGTGCTACCAATACCATCAAAATAACGGACTAATTTAATACAAAATACGGCGACCTTAACTCTCGAAGAAGTAGGGATTCTGAAGAAGAATTCGACCATACTAGTAATGTCAGAAGTCTAACGGCACATCGTTCCGTCGGAATTCACCATATAAAATATAATTAATCCGGGAATCCTCTTCTCCTGTCTTATAAAACAGATGATGAATTAAGTTCATACTACAATCCAATACAAAAATTTGTAAAAGGGGGGCGACGTCTACCAACTTTACAATAGACAATACCGACGTGTGGTTATGGTGGGTGATGATGAAATTGATACTAGTTTAATTTTCTACCGAATACTTTACTACTAATTTTTATTTAACCCTGTACTACTCTTTTTTTTGGTGTCCTACATTTTCTATTAAGATTCTTAAAGTAGTATAGTAGTTGTTAAGGTTGTAGTAGTTGTTAGAGTAGGGTGAAAGTTATAGTTAGAGGTCGGTCCTACTCAACTGATCTGTGGGTGGTCATGTTTGCGTTAACTCTAGTTAAAATTAAATTCAAGTGTCGAGTGGTTCCCATTCGTAACCAGGTAAACATCTACCGGGAAAAGTTAAGAAGAAGAACTTTCTCCGAGACTGAGATAAGTCGCTCCATCAACCGTTACTCAAGTGTAAGGTAATATCGAGATATTCTGTGTCTTCTAAGTCTTTCTACAGGACCAAAATCCAACGGTCATCTAA